TGTGTGTATATATATATATATATATATATATATATATATATATATATACACACATATGAACAGGAAGGAAACCCCACACTCACTAGCACTGATGATATTACCTAGTTGGGAAATGAAAAGTTTGCAATCAAACAACCAAGCTCAGAGAGCACCAAGGACTCCCCAGTTCAACCCTGTGGTACAGATATTCTCTTCTATTGCTATATTATATATTTTATCTGTTCCTAAGATCACTATTGGCCCCATTAGAATTTACCTGGTTCATTCCATAAATGCTCAGTTTATAACTTTTCTGTACACTTCTTGGTACCAAATAAAAATAACACGTGCACACAAGGACGTGCTCACACACGTGCACACGCACACACGCACACAGATGTTTGCATATAAATCTTTTAGAATTTGTTTTAAATAATCAAGACTAATTATGGTAAAAGAATTGGGAATTTGGAGAACGCTGTTTCTATTTTCTACTGGTGGATATTTTTAAATGCCATATTATCAATGCTCATTCTTATCGCTTGAAACATGTATTTTAATTTTTGTATTAGTATTATCAGAAAACATCCAGAGAACTTGTTTTTTCAGGGCAATAACAATAATAAGTAAACCAATGAATGAATATTACTGGCTGAACTTTAATCATGAGCCTTTATCTTACAAAAAACAAATTGTTGAACTTAATTAGTTTTTGAAATTATGCAACCAGGGGTGTTCCAAGAACATTGGAAATCAGCCTCCAAACTAGATTGGCTACTTACAGTCATGTAAAAAAGAAAGTACATCCTCTTTGAGTTCTATGGTTTTATGCATCAGGGCATAATAAAAATCATCGGGTCCTTAGCAGTTCTCAACAGAAAGTAAATACAACCACAGATGAACAACAACACATGACATATTACACCGTGTCATCATTTATTTTACAAAAAGAATGCCAAAATGGAGAAGCCATGTGTGAAAAATTAGGTACACCCTTACTGCTTCCAAAGGTATGAAGAGGCTAAGTAGCAGCCAGGTACTGCTAATCAAATGCCCTTGATCAATTGATTGTCAGCAAGTGTGACTACCTCTATAACAGCCAAAATTTTAGGAGTTTGCTGGTCTTGAGCATTGAGGTGTGTGTTAACACAATGCCCAAGAATAAAGACATCAGTAAGGATCTTAGAGAAGCAATTGTTGCTGCCAATCAATCTGGGAAGGGTTATAAGGCCATTTCCAAACCATTGAAAGTCCATCATTCTACAGTGAGGAAGATGATTCACAAGTGGAAAACATTCAAGACAGTTGCCAATCTTCCCAGGAGTGGATGTCCCAGCAAATTCACCCCAAGGTCAGACTATGCAATGCTCAGAGAAAGTGCAA